AGAAGTCGCCGTATGAATGGAGTTTTAACGAGCATATGCGGTCTGCACATTGTTTGGTGAAGCATCTCCGGCCGTCCATTACACAGGCAGTTGAGGCAAGGTGGATCGTCCATTTGCGGGAAGAAAAAACTCCACACGAAATATCGGATGGTCCGGGCGTATGGTGCGCCATGCGGATCTGTGAAGTCGTGCAGGAGGTCAAGGCGAGGGAATAAACGCGTCGGATACACGGGTAGGAGGGAATAGGTGGAAGGGGATGCGGGTCGGGATCAGCCCCGAGGGAAGGGCGCTCCTCCACCGGGGGGCTCGCGGAGTTGAACGCGGGCGCGGGCGCTACCGGAGACTGTCGGGAGAAACAGGGGAGTGGATCGGGCGTTTGTCCGGTTATACAGACTAGTAGCCGATGCGGATCCCGGCAGAGAGACGCCCGCCGCTCTCCCTCCTGCGCTGGCACCGCCCTAGTCCCCCTTCTCACCGTCCGTGTGCGCATGACGCCCCCAGTGGCGCCTGCAGCACATGCTTGCGGCGCGAATCCGGCCGCTGTCGGACACCTCGACGCGCAATCGGTCGACTCCAGCCGTTGCCTTCCGTGCGTATGGTCGCCCATCTTGCCTCGGCAGTACTCATCCGTACGAACTCGTTGCTCCAGTTCGCTGTCTCCGGACGCTGAAGTAATTGTCCCCCGACGCAATCGTAAATCGTTCCTCCCCATGGACGCCAGCCGTGGCGGACATCGTTCCCAAGCTCAGCGCAGCCCCGACGACAGCTCCATACCAGGCACGTCTCGCCTCCGCTTTTGTCGCCAGCGGCACGACAACGCGGAGCCTATGCATGGAACGCACATGATCGTCCCGGCCTCGCGCCGCCCGAGGCCCACGTAGTTGCCGGCTCTACAGCCAGCGGTCCCGAAACGCTCTGTTCCTCTCAGCCAGTGGCATGATCTATGACGACGCTGCATACGGATGCCGTACTTTGCGCGACGAAGGCCGGGCGACCGTGCACAGGCGGGCACTAATGCAACATCGGCGGCCGCGCGAGGCCCGAGCAGGGCCCCATCTGGGCTCCGGCAATGGCGACTAGGACGCTTTCGGGGGTACACTTCACAGGTCGCCCCGCGAAGCGGAAGCTACGCAGACAGGACCTCGCGCGCGGCCTCGTCGGAGTCGCGGCGGGGCGTGCCTTGATCACCCTCTCAACCCCCGCCCTCGCATTGCGATCGGCGGCGGATGCTGGGCCGTCTTCCCTGCACCTGCCCTCGCGAACCGCCGCATCCTCGTCATCCAACCCAGCAGCACTTTCCCAGCACGCGCCACAGGCTCCCGCGCACCGTCGGAGGCGACTCGGCGGCTGGCACCCACCGGCGACACCCATGATCCCCCCAGCGTCCCCGAGTCAGCGCCAGTCACCCACACCGGCTGCAGAGAGGTCTTCTGCGACATCGCGCGCGCTCGCAACCTCCGCCCTTGAACATGTCCAGCCGCCTGACTAGAACACAGGCGCGGCGGGCAGGAGCACTCTGCCCTATCACCCTCAGGCCTCAGGCCTCCTCATTGGACCCGTACGGAGATCCTCGCAGTGCGATTCCGCCGATGTCGAGCGGGAGAAGCGTCCCCAGACGCGCCCACACGCCCCTTTTGCGCTCCCCCGGCCTTCCAGCAGCAACCGCAGTCGCACGGGATCTCTCCTCCAGGTTGCCGTCATGCCGTGGCGGCAGCACAGGCAGAGGCACTCGCACTGCCCGTCCAGTGCTCTCTCTGACATCCGCACGCGCGACCAGGAGCTCCCAGCACCTGCGCAGGCCCCGCAACTTCACCGCTGCGTCCTCGTATGCGGAATACGCCGCGTAGAGCGTTCTAACGCCCACGCCCACCGTCCCTGCGCCCGTTTCTCCTCGCCTCCTCGCGCCGCCGACCGCCCCCGTCTCGCGCGCGCCGCGCCGTGCCTTCCAGCCCCTTCTGCCCCGCCATCTTCCCTGGTGGCGGGCACGCGGCGCCCCGACCTTCCGCTTCTGGCACCCCTTGCCGCACGCTCTGCCCACCGCCAGCGCTCAGCAGGGGCGCGGATCCTGCCCCCTCCTTCGACCGCGCGCCGATGTGTCGACGATGCGCCCCGCGACCGCCTCCCCCGCCTCTCCGTCTGCGCGCGGACCTGGAGTGCAGCTGCCCCGTGCTCCTGATCGCCCGCCGCGCGAATCGATCCCAAGGCCGACCTCCGAGGTCAACCCGGGGCAGCTCTCTCGCCGCCGCAGCGAGCGCAAGGCCTGGCCCGCGTCCTCTGAGCAAGTCGCGATTCGCGCGAATCGCGCGACAAGCACGAGCGGCCTGCGGCAGGTGGTCCTACCTGTTCTCATCCGATGTGGGCCTTGCGGTGGCCTTCCTTCTTGTCCCCGATACGCCCCCCTCCACCCCCCAATTGCGCGTGGGAATATCTGGAAAGACCCCTCGTGTCCCCCGCACGCCCGCCCACCTTCGCGCGTCCGCGCTCCCCGATACGCGTTCTGCGTCCGCAGAAGTGCTGCAGCTGCCGCCAGTACGGGATTCACAGCGGGATTAGCGTATGTGGAATGCGGTCCTGCGCCGCCACGCACGCGCGCCCACCGCCGGTGCAGCCGGCCCACAGAAGGGTGCCCACCCCAGACCACCCTCCCACATGTCGCCCACAGCGCGATACTGCACTCCGTCTAGGTTCGCCCCCAATCCGCCCTCTGCAGTCCGCGATCTGGAACCAGCGAGGACGATCTGGCCACTCGCGGGCGGCGGATCGCCTCGATGCGCGCGACCAGAGGGCACGCGCGTGGCGGGCACTCCCCTCCCCCGTGCGCGTGGTCAAAGGTCGTGGTCGTGGTCGTGGTCGGTCGCGGTCCAGGCTCTTCGCGGGCGCCCGCGGGCGCACACACCCAAGCCCATCCGCGTACCCGTTCGGCTCGTGTACCCACACACCCACCCACGAACGAACGAATGCGTCCGCCTTCGCCGATCCCTACGGCGCTCGGCTCGCGATTGTCTTCCTCCTGCGCCATGCGGAGGACCCCTCCGAGACGACACGATCTCCAATGGAGGCTGGGATTGTCTCGATTTTCGCGCGCGCTCTTGAACGGCGTAACAGCACGCCCCCGTCCACGCACCCACAGATCTCACCGCGTGCGGATCCCCACGAAGCCCGAGGTGCCAAAGACATATCATAGTAATCCTTATCCTGACATACCCAGGGTAGCCCGGCGCCCGGCGCCCCGCCCCTTCGCTGTACCCTCACCCTCTCGGCCGATTGCCTGAACGGGACGGACGCTCGGGGGCGAACCCACTTCCATGTCCGCACCTGCACACCTTCAGCGTGCAGCACGCGCGGCCCGGGTTCGGCCGGCTGTCCGTCCTCCGAGCCTGCGCCCCCTCTCTCACACACGCCCCGGCCCCAGTCCCAGTCCCGTCCGCTCGTCCCCGCGCGTACCTTCCCGTCGGTAGCCTCATGCGCCCGTCGAGTCCGCTGCCCTGCTCTCCCCACTGCGCCGCCCCACAAACTGAACGTCCTTCTATCCAACTGTCCCTCGCTCGACTGTGGGTCCTTCCCCCATTTTATCTAGTGCTCAAGTTTCACGCGCTCAGTCGCCGCCGTCCCACCGCCGAGACTCTGGCATCTGCCGACGCACCTCACGGAGAAATCACGTGACGTGGCCGCGATCTCACGGCTGGAGGCGCGTGTGGCTTGGACAACGCTCGCCGGATCTACGAGGGAGGGCACCGCTCACACGCACGAGTGACGATGCCCGGCGTGCCGTCCTTCAGCTGCGGCCGTCGAAGGGCAGGGGAACACGGACGCGACGATTACAGGGTTTGGGGCTCATCACCCTGGCAGCTCAGTCCTCAACGTTTAAGCCCAATTCATTGCATATGTTGTACCTATGCACGCAGTAGCTCATAATGCCACAGCCGTGAGGGACTCAGGCGGCCGCGCGCTGGGAACAGTGAAGGGTGCATCAAAGCCGCACACGCTTGGTATGCGTTGAAGCGCGGGGCGTGTCGGGAGTGCGTTGAACGCGCGTAAGGAGCGCGCGCGTCGGGGGAACATCCCAGGAAGCGTTGAGGCGTGTCATGATCAAGGGTGCGTCGGGCCTAACACGTCTAGTTGTCGAGTCGGAGGTATCGTCGGGGAGCGGGAGGGTGAAACGTCACAATCTCAAGACCAGCGTGGCGCTGTGTCGTCTTGTTGGACGCGAACTGGCCATGTTCGAAGGGGGTGCGTGACAGGGGATGTCAGGGCGACGAGGAGAATGGTGGAGAGCTGGCGCCCGGACGGCTGAGGCGGTCGCTTGGGTAATCTAGGCGACCGGAGCTTTGTAATAGAACTTACCGATGACGGCTTATGAACCTCTCTCACCTGCTAGTCATGTGAAGAGGCGGACGAGCCAACGCAGGAAGGCTCACAAACACAATTTGCCCGGGTTCCGAGCCAATCTCGTCTCAAAGAATGAGCATAGGATACTTGTGAAGCGCACAGCGATGTGCTCAAGCTAGTACACTTCACGCCACGCCTCAAGACACTCCGGCGTAAGAGACCAGGCGCTGTGTTAGAAGAAGTTCCACACGTCCAGGGACGGCCTACATTCCACGCTCAACGCCAGCCCGCGCGGAGAGCACAGCAATACGCCCCCGCAGTGCCTAACTTCGCCCTAGCGTCCCGCAGAGTTCAAAGTCAAACCCACCTGCTTCGCGAGCCCAGGATTCCAGCGCCCGCGGGCGCTGTCCCGTCACGAGCTCCCCCCGGCGAAGCGACCGTCCGGACCGATGACGACAGTGAAATTGACGGGGCTGATAAGTTACGGCACCGTGCTCGCGACGTCCGATCGTCCAGTCCGCCTCCCCCGCGCATCCCAAATCTGCCCTGAAAGGAGCAAAATCTCAGTGACGCGCAGCGGCCAATTCGTGCAGCCAACGCCAACGCACCTCCGCAGACCCGCGAAGACGACGGCGGACGCGCCCGCCGCGCATTAGCCTGGATATCAGAAGCTACTCGGGCTCCGACAGCTCGTCCTCCTCCTCGCTGTCGCGCGGGTGCTGGTGCTGGAGCGCACCCGCGCGCGGCGGGAGTGGCGCCTTGGACAGCGCCGCGCCCCCGCGGTGGTTACGGCAGTGGCGGCGCATGTTCGAGTTGACGCTGAAGCGGCGCGCGCAACCCGGGAACGGGCACTTGTACGCTGACGAGAGGTGCGCGGGGTCAGCGGCGTCCGGACGGAGGTGGCGCGAGAGCGGGAATGGAGACACGAAACTCGAAACTCGAAACGCGTATGGCGCAGGGAGACGAGGTCCGGGGTGAGGAGGGGCGAGGCCGGAAGGGGCGGCAGGCCGGCGCCGCAGCGGGACCAGGCGGCCTGGGATGAGCGGGCGGGGTACTCACGTTGCGCGCCCGTGTGCGCGTTCATGTGCGTGTGCAGGCTGCTGGGGCGGCTGAAGCGGCGGTGGCAGATCCCGCACGCGTGCCGCCGGTCGTCCCCGGGCGGGCACTCCTCTGCGGAGAGGTGGTACGTCGGGAGGTTGGGGTGCTGGCTCGGGTCCGGTGCTTGCGCTGATGCGGATGCGGAGGATAACAGCGACTCGACGGAACGTCTCGCCATCGACCCCGGGGAGCTGGGTAATGGAGGGCTGGGACTCGTGTTCCCGGGGGTGGAAGTGGTGAGCGGGCAGGAGAGTGGGCATGAGGTACCGGAAACGAGGGATGTAGGAGGGCTGGCGGATGGCTGGCGGGGGTGGCAGTCGCGAGCGGTCGCAGGGCCATGTCCGGATGGTGAGAGCTTCCGCCCCAAGCACCGCTGGTAGAACCTCTAGATCTCATGCTTGAAGGACCAGCTGAAGGGCTTGAAATGTTGGAGTGCATATAGCCTGTCGACGCGGTATGGTGGTCGTGAAAATTCGAAGCGTGTTCCTTTGCATGATTTAGAATAAAGGTCGCGAGTGAACGAGTCACGAGAACTCACGCTTCCGTGCCTCGACGACAATGCATGCGGTCCGTGGCCTTGGGTATTCTGTCGCCGGCGTTCCGATACATTGAACGATACATCTGTGGGATGTTCGTTGTCGGGTTCGCATCGTCGCGTCAAACGGGGCTGCATACCTGAGAACATCTCTCTGAAGCTGGGCAATGTCGGCTTGCTACCGGGAAGACGCTTCGAGGGATCCATGATCTGCGTGAGGAAGAGGAGAGACGGGAAACGATACGATACGACTGAGCTTCAGTACAGAACCTTTTATATGTTTCATCAGCCTTTGCACTATAGCCGACTTACACACCTCATCACAGGGCGCCCCGAAGAGGGCGCCAGAATAGATCGGTGAACGCGCGCCGTGGGAGGGTTAGGCTCACATTCGCAGTGGCGACGCCTCTGCAGGAAAACGCAGCGCACCCCACGGGAAGGCGTCCCGAGGGAGGCAGACACCCGCGCCCAGACTCGGACGCGCCCGCTGGGCTCTGCGCGCCATCCGGGAGAGCGCGTTGCCCACGGCCGTTGCGCGGCCGCGCGTTACGACACCGCGCGTTTGGGGCGTGAGTCACGACGGCCCTGCATCACCGCCGACACGTCGAAATGGACTGTTCTGAACAGCCTGCGCGAGCGCAGAAGAGCCCCCTCCCCTCCTCCGCAGATGGACGAAGGTTCGGGGGGCCGTCCTTGGGCGGCGGCAATCCGTTTGCTTTGTCCCGGGCGGCGCCCCTAGGCTCTCGCGCGCTCGGGCCGACCAAAACACGTCTTCGTGTTTGCTGCAGGCCGAGTCCAGACGCTGCGTTCGCGGCCGTTGATTGCCTGAGCGTCCACGGTCCTTTGATCCAGATATGGCCATGGCCGAGAAGGGTCCTGCGTCGTGCCGTCAGCGCCCAGGGAAAGTACAAGGGTGCACGAAACTTACCTGGCAGCCCGGTCTCCCGAGCGAATCGGCAGCTGAAGCGCCTTGGCGAGCCTCCGGCCGCGCAGGAAGAATCGGAGAAGCCATGGCCTCGATCCCCGCAGTGGCATACGCCTGGCGCCCTGCACGAGGCCTCGGTCACTACTTTGGTCGCCGTGGAGAGAAGGCGCGCTCGCCATCCATGATACTCCCTTGATCGTGCAGTGCCCCAGTGCGCACGACGGGTGAAAATTTCCGGGATCAGACATATGAATGTCGTTGGATGTACATCGCCACGCCCCGTACAATGGTAGAGGGGATAAGTGGCAGCGGGCGCATGATGCTGCTGCTGCAACGGCGCAGAGGAGGTTCGGCGCGCAGAGTGGCGCCGGGATGTAGAGTTCGCGGTGGACGAGTGTTTGGGCAATGCTCAGTGTAGCACGACCGTCTCTCGGTCTGAGGAAATCGGCCTGAATATAGTTTAATGAGGGCTGTGGCAGGTTGTACGAGAGACGATTGTGGCAACTCACTCAATCTGCTGCGCTGAGTCGGTTGTTGAGATTCTCCGTCCGCTCCACGAAGAGATGCAACGTCGGTGCTGTACATGACATTGACGATGAGAGGTATTGGGCCGAAGTTGATGATCTTCCAAAGAACATACGGAGCTTTACATAGAGCGAGTTGAGGCTCACCGCCAATTGTTCGTCGTTGTCGCGGTCCAAAAAGGCTCTGCACGCATGTATGCGGTCCACGTCACGACTGCCGCATCACTGGTCACATTAATCATCATATGTGATGTGTGACCGAATAAGTCACGGTTCACTACGTGACACAGCGCACGCTATTTTCTTCCCTCCGACGGCCCCGATAGAGTCCGACTCGCTCACAACCAAGCACTGCGCGGCGTAGTTCCCGTTCACTGCTCAGTGGAAAACGTTAAGTGGCGCTCGCAACAAAGGCGTCTGTCACCCGCAGGAACTACACACGCAGTCGCATCGGCAATGAACAGCGTCCGACACATGTGGGCGCACGTTTGCGTCGCCATGTCGAGGTAGTTAGTGGTGGCAGGGTGACATGATGGGCTGCGTGCGTACTTCTCTACATTGACGTGTACGAATACACATTGACCCATATGTTGCGCTTTTGCTAGGGGCGGACCAGACCCGTATTTTAGTATGCGCAGCGCGAGGTGCTGAACGTCCCCACCCACCTTCTCACGGGACCCCCCACGAAACGCACTCACCCCAGAGCTACAACTCAGATGAACAGCAGCGAACGTCCATCTCTCCCCGGCATTTGGTCTCTGTTCTCGAGTATGCTGCTCTGCTTCAATCACGAAACATCATACTGATATTCTTACCCTCAGAAGAGCTGCAGCTTCAGATCCCTCCCCTGAGAAGGAGCGCCTCGTTTCCGGAGATGTGTCAGTTGCCGCCTCCCCAAAGGGACGAACCTAGGCTGGCGTTCTCGACGCAACGCTCGGCTTCGTTTCGCGACGCCGGGCTGGCGCCTCCGACACGAAGGCTCTCTGATTCCGGCACGAGGGACGTCCACAGACACCCACGACAATGTCCGGTCTGTCAACGATGGTTCGAGAGGCCCAGCGCCGTTCTCACGCATCTCAATACCCATTCTGGGGCGCGACGTACGTCATCAGCTTGCTGTGCGCGACAAGGCAACACTCAGATCGGCATTTCCACGTCTCGCTAGCGTTCATGTGCGAATACCCGAACTGCATGCGCAGATTCAACGTGAAGTCGAACATGCGTCGCCATTACAAGACGCACTTCAAGCAGTCCCCGGGACGCCCTCCACCACGGAGTCTAGACCCCTTGCCTCTTCACGCCAGCTCTTCCCGTGCCTTCTCGGTGTCATCGTTCCCCTCCACCGTGTCTTCTCCAGCTGCGACTCTTCTTCTGCTCGATCCCGACCCTCTGAACTTAGTCGGCTGCACGACAACCCCGCCTCCGTGATGGATTGGGGGTACCGCATGTTCATCGAAGCATAGCCACCCCCCTGATCGTGTACGATGGTCAGTCCTAGCCATCCTTCGCGACTTGTCAGATCTGACGTACCGACACAGCATTGTCTCTGCCTCCCATATCACGCGGGCTGGCCTCGCCTCTCAGAACTTGTCCTCGCACCCCGTCGTAATGCATAACTTATTCGCTCGCGTCTACGTCTGCAGCTCTGTTCTATCACCGATCACGGCGCCCCACCCTCCCACCACCGCTCCTCGTCGCGCCCGCCCAACTCCACTCCCCGGTCCCGATATCAGAACACCAACGCCTCCAGCCGCCGCCTTCGCCGCGTTGGCTACGAGCAGGCGGTGTCCCAGTGCGCGTTGTGCGCCCGACCGCGAAGCCCCCCGTCGCCGTCGAAGCGTGCACGCGCGGGCCAGAGCACCTCGCCTCCCGCGCCAGGCGTCCACTCCGGTCGGCGCACCTCCTCTCGCGCTCACTCGGGGCACTGCATCTCCGTTTCCGCCCACCGACGCCGGCGCCCCCGCCCCGTGGGCCGTTCGGCGCGCCTCGCTTCCCTGCTCGCTTCCGCACGCCGGAGGCCTCAGGCCTCAGCAGAGCGGCCTGGCTTCGGTCTGTGGGAGCGCGGCGTGGCTCTTGACGTGTTGCTTGCACTGGTGCCGTTCGACGCGGTGAGTCCGGGGACCTGGCCGGTGTATTAAATTTAGAGGCCCAGTCGCGCGCGGCAGAGGTCCGTGCGCCCGTCGCCCGTCGAGGAGGCTGGACTTCTGGTGCGTTCTCCTCCGAGTCTCCGGGCGGGATGTCGCGCTCACGGTCGCCGTCGATGTCTAGTGCTGTCCGTGATCGCTCGGACCGAAATGTCGCTGAGCGCGCTGCTGCGCGTACCCCGACGTCCCCGTTTGCGCGGGTCGGAGGTGCGCTGCTCGTTATGGCTCTGCTAAATGGAGTCTTGTGTCTTTGAGCGGGCTCCGTCGCCGCTGATAAGCCACTGCGTGTTCGGGAGGAACTCGAGCTGATACTGGGACGCTGGTACGCCGATGTGCAGATGTACCTTGAACGCGACGCGCTAGGACATCAATGGTAAGTCCTAAGAACGAGCAGAGCAGTCGACGATTTTAACATCACTGATAGGTTGGAAGTGGTAACCACTTCACCTGTGTGCCTAACGTTCACTTGAATCTTTGGCGTCTGCTCGTTATCTTACGGTTTTCCAAATGCGTACGTATGCCTCGTCGCACGTGTGCTCACGCTTCCTCACGAGCAAAGCTCCAAACGCCTCTCACCGCCCCCGCAACGACACACCATCACCACGACGCGGAAATCTTCCAAGGTCGCCGAAGCCGCCGCAGCCACGAACGCGACGCCCTCGTTCCTTCTCATTTGCCCCCGTGCCTCTCTCCGCCCGCGCCGACACTGCATTCGTGGATCACCCGCGAACCTCAGTGGCTCCGCCCCCTGGACCATCCCTCTTCGGTCGGAGCGATCCCACAGTGCCAGCCTCACACACCTCCGACGCGGCGCACTACGCCCCTCCCCTGTCCTCCCCCTCCCCTGGATGCAATGTCGCGTCCACCGGACGTTTTCCCCGCAGCCCGCCCGGGCAGCCCGGATCCGACCTCAATTATCCCCGCCCGCATCACGCCCTCCGTCAGTGCCTCCGTCATCGCGTGTCTCGTCTTCGCCTCTCCACGACGCCCTCCCGATACCGCGATAGCGCGTCGACCGCGCCCCCCGCCGCGATCGGTCGCAGCCACGGCGCGCTCCGCACCCGACTCCGCCCACGCCGGACGTGCCTGTCCGGCATCGCCTGGGAATCCGCGCGGCACGGGGTCCGTGAGCCCATCCGTCCTCCGTCCCTCCCGCGACGGCACCTGCTCACCGACACCAGCTCCGCGCCGTGTCGTCGAAGTGGGCACCGCACCGGCTGCCGCGCGCGCACGCACGGCGCGTCCGGTCCCCTCCGGTTCGGTCTGCGACGACGCGCTTTGTGCGGGAGCGCGCACTCACTGGAGTATGTACGCTAGAGCGCCCGTAAGTAGTGCACCCGACCCTGATCGGCGGTGGCCAGTAGCGCCTAAATACACGGTACATACCACGGGCCCTGCGCGCACCGTCAGCCTTCAGCTCGGCTCGAGTCAAGGACGAGGACGAGGACGAGAGCCGAACCGCGCACCGCACGTCCCCCGACTCACGATACCCGGCCCACGAGATTGGGCGCCGTCGACGTGGAGTGCGCCGTTCCCCGCAGCCCTTGTCCTCTGCCAGCGCGAGCGCCCGCGACATTTGTCGTCTGTGGCGTCCGGCTGGGAACCGTGCGGGCCTCGCCGGTGGGGCGGCCCCGGTGGGCCGCGCTCGAGGACGTCGAGGTGTTGGCAGGCCTCGGGTGACTCGACCGGCGGGGCACGGGCGTCGGCCTTCGAGTGGAGGCCCGGGGGCGCGCGCGCGGTAAATTGGCAAACGGCGATATCATGGGATGGATGATTGCCATCTCGTCATCCGCGTTGGGCCGAGGCTGGGTGCTTACACTCGAACGAGCGCCCGCGCGCAGATCCCGGTGGGCTCGTGCGGATCTCGCTGATGGCCCGGGTTGACCCCATATGTATTTCATGCCCCAGGACGACGCACGGCCGGCCGGGCTCGTGCGGAACAGAAGCGTCGAGACGGTCCCCGTGCGCGCGAGGGCTCAGCGCTCGCAACAGCACTTGGCACGTTCGCGAGACGAAACGCGAACCCTCGTCATGCTCGGGGAAGCGGGCGTTGGACACGTAAGGCACGCCTTCGCGACGCACACGCTCGCTGACGGGCGCACGACCGTTGCCCTCGGACCTTCGACTCCGGCCCTCGCCAGAACGGAAACACAATATTGATTATCCCTGGACGCTCGCACTAGCGGCCGCACGCGAGCACCCCACCGTCGCGCCAGACGCGTGCCCGCGTGCACTCCAATCGAGTGCCCGTGCGCCTCGCGAGGCCTCGCGCCACTCTAGCCCGCCTCATCTCCGCCCGACATCACACCCAGACGGGCGCAGCGGGCGCACGTACGGCGACCCCCCCCCCCCCGCTCCGCCCTCCACTCTCCGCCCGCGTCCGCCTAGGCTCGGCCCGCGCGCGAATTCAGTCTCCAGCGTGCGCCGCCTTCATCTCCGCCATGCGAGGCTGGCCGGCTGGCCGGCCCCGTCTCGCGCCCGCAGCGCGTCGCTCTATTATAGCTGGCGCTAGCGCAAGCCACTGCATACCTCGCGCCTGGCGTGCGACGTGCGGGCCTCCCGAGCGCGTCATTGCTTATGTACGCACGAGCTACAGCTCGCGCGTGCCTGATCAATGCACGATGACGGCGCGGACCCGAGCGAGCGTGTCCCTTACCTAGTACTTAAATTTAAAACCCGCAGCGTCCGCGCACATGCATGATCGTGGCGGACGCCGCCCTACGTCGCCCGGAGGACGTGCACCGTGCACGAATCCGAGAGCGCGCGCAGCCGTACGTCCGACGCACGCGTGCGATCGCACCGGAGGTATCGCAGGTGCCCTGGAGATGCCCCCGCGTGCACCAGCACTCCGCACCCGCGCACGTGCACGGTTGAAATCCCGAAAACCGCAACGCCTTTTCCAATCGCATGCGTGATGTCAAACCGACGTCGACGCTCGCCCAGTCGGCCTACGCGGTCGACGAATTCACCCTCCACGCGTGACGAACCGGCCAGACCGATCGCTCCCGCGCGCGGCGATCATCGATCGAATCAGGCCCAGGGCCGCCGCCCTCCCGGCCGGGCGTCGATCCTCGAGCGCTAGACTCAAGTGTGTGCGCCGGGCCCAGACTCCAGCCCGCGACGCCCGTCGTCGTCCGCTTGGAAGTGCTCCTCCTCCTCCCCTCCACGTTCCCGTGCGTGGCTGAGCTCCCTCCGCTGCCGTGCGCGGGCGACGGGACCGGCGACGCTCGATCCCTTTGGGCCCGCGTTCCTCGTGTTTTTGTCAGAACCGAGTCAGAGCTCACTGGACTCCGGAAGTCTTGGCTGGCGATTCGCGGAGCGCGTGGGTGCGTCGAATGGGGGGATCGCGCATGGCTCTCTCGTTGCCAGGCGGGCGCTGCGGGCGGTGTTTGTCGCAGACACGACCGGGGTTGGAGCCGCGGAGGGTCGGTTGGACCGAGGACTAAGTGATAGCGATACATCGGCCGACCTACGACGCAAGGCACTGACACTGACACGGACCCCGAGCGGGTGGGACGTCGACTACGCCTGGCAATGTAACCCAAGTAGCTGCTACCGTCCGAGGCGGCCAGATCTACAGGTCTAAGCGCAGCACGGTCCCTCCAGACAGGCGGCACGCGGCGAAGGGACACGGGCTAGAACAAGATCCGGGAGCTCCGGTGCTTGGACGAGGGGCTCGACGGTAATGTGACAGCCGCGGACGTGCGGCCGGTGACAGGACGGGACGGGAGGACGATTCGTATGCGCGCGGACGGAGGCAGAGCGGGGGAAGACGAGGGGGAGGGGAACGTCTACGGTACCTGCGCGTGTCGTGACCGGTCGTGCTGGGCAAGAGCGGCGGACAGGCAGGGAGGCAGGGACAGGGGAATGCGGAGACGGGCGTATGTATGTATGCATGCATGGACATGTGTATGGCAGGCGTCGGGGACTGTGCGCCCCCGACCGGCAGCGGCGGCGGCGATCGTGCACCGGCGTTCGGTGGACAGAGAAGACGGAAGACGGGTTGCTCGGGAATACAGAGGCACGGAAACTAACGGACAGCAGGATCGACAGCGTACGACAGACGGGACGGAGAGCGGGGGCTATATACGGGAAGAGAGTGCGTGCGTATGTAAGACAGCCGGGAAAACAGTGCGAGAGCGTCCGTCTCGGGCGCCCCCGCGGGATCATCGTAGACGGCGACACGGGCAGTCCATACACAACAGTGTTCTGCCACTTCGTGCGCCAGAGACAGGGAAGCGAACCAACCAGGGAGACTGACCAAATGCGGGCGCACACGCTCACGCGTCCCCGCCCTCCGAGTCGTCCTCGAGCACCGTCCAGCCTGGGAGCGCACCCGCGTCCGGAAACGCCGGCCGGAGCCGCGTCGAGCCCAGCGCGCCCGCCGCGCAGTTGCACCTCGGGACGTCGCACGGGCCCCGCTCCGCATCCGCGTCCGCCTCGCCTGAGCTCTTGCCGCCATCGGGCGCAGCCGCAGCAGAGAGCCGGCGCGGGCGCTCCCGCGGCGATGGGTACGGCCCCGGACGGGCGCGGCGGCTCTCTGGGGACGAGTCCGCACGGGGGCGGAGGAGATCGCGTTCGCGCGCGGGGCCACCGCGGAGGTACGACTCCGCGGTCGAGGGCTTGTGGCCCACGGGGTCCTCGTACTCGCCGATGCCGGAGCTCCGGGAGTACGAACGGGAGTAGTACGCGCGTGGGGGCGAGGCGGGCCGGAAGGACGTGGATGGCAGCGAACGCGGCGTGGGCGGAAACGGAGAAGTGACAGCGGAAACGGGGGACGGGAGGAGCGACGGCGACGGGGAGCGCGACGGGGCGGGCGAGGGTGAGAACGTGGGGGACCGGGATTGAGAGTGCGAGTAAGAGTGCGTGGAGGGCGAGCCCGAGCCCGAGTCGTAGCCCGCAGCGGAGCGGGAGCGTGGGTCGGACGAGGCCCGGTGGTACATGGGCGGTGGCTGGGCGTGAGCGTGGGGGTAAGGCGGGTGAGGGTTGGGGTGAAGGGGCTGGGCGGTGTTGTGCGCGCCGTAGCTTTCGGACTCCATGTGTGAGTGGGCGTAGGGCGGGAGGACGGCGGCGGAGTGCTCGGGAGAGGGAGGCATGATGCGCGCGACGGCGTCGCGGCGGCGAGATGCGGTAAGGTGGTTGCGGTAGTGGCGACGCATGTTCGAATTCACGTTGAACTTGCGGTTGCACCCCGGGAACGCGCAGGTGAACGCTGCGGGAGGCGAATTAGCACGCATATAGTCGGTCGCGGCGAGGAGGGGCTCACGCTTTGCGCCGGTGTGAGTGTTGACATGGATAGCGAGACTGCTCGGGCGGTTGAACCGCTTCTGGCAGTGTGGGCAACAATGCCGCCGCTCGTTGTCGTCCGCGCTCGTCATCGCTGGAGCCTTGGGCTTGCCGCCCATCGCCGGTGGCGAGAGGGCAGCGACCGGCGGCTCATACAGGTGCGAGAGGGACTGTCTGCGGGCACTCAAGGGACTCGCGGAGAGCTGGAGGCCGGATGAAGCGGAATGGTGATGGGTGGCTGAGTAGGGCGGGCGAGTTGGCTCGACGTGCGTCGGCGGCGCAGGCGGGGTGGCGGTCGTGTGGGACGGGCCAGGGTGAGGCCGAGCGGCGTGAGCCCAGACGGGAGACGAGGACGGGACCGAGGCCGGAGACGGGAGGGAGGCGGTCGGGTAGGGCGAGTGGGGGAGTTGCGAGGAGGATGGGGCACAGCATGGGGCGACGCACGGCGACGCTGCTGATCGGAGGCGGGAGGAGTGTGGATGGAGGCTCTCGAGAGCGGGGTGGGATTCGCGCAGAGGCTGGGGGAGCGGGACTGAGGACGCGGAGATCGGTCGGCACAGCAGAGATACTCACCGAGGTCGAGAGGGGCTGCAGAGTGATCGATGGCGAGGTCGCGGCGGGGGACTGGAGGGCAGGGAGATTGCCGCGGAAGAGCGATTCTGGGGGCGGATGAGGATGAGGCGAGGGGAACGACGTCATCGGGCGCACCTGGAAAGAGCTCGTTGAGGCTGGGGAGCGGCTGAGGACGGTCGTCGGCGGATTGGGCGGGGCGAGGGGGACGGGAGGCCATGGCGGGAGAGGATGGGGGGCGGGGAGCGGGACGGGGGCGTATATAGCGGGCGGGGTGACGAGGAGGGGCACGCGAGGATGATCGACCGTAATATAAGGTAGCTCGCCGGCCGAGGCGCGCGTGGTGGGCGCAGCGACGAGCCCGCGCGCGATCGCGAGGAACGCCCGGGGGAGCGGCTTGGAAATAGACGGCGATTTCCTCGCGCGGCCCATCCGAGATCTGCCCTTCCCTTCCTCGGCGCCCTTCCATATCCGGCCGTCCTCCATCCCGTCCTCGACCCCCAGCCTCCGCGCTCGTCGCAGCCGCTCCCCTGCCCGCTCTCTCCGCCCTCCCTCCCTCTCCCACCCCGCGGCGATGCGATTCCCTCGGGCAGCGTCAACCCGCCTGCGTCCGGGGCGAAGGCGAACACTCTCGGCCCAGGGCAGACGGATGCGCGCTGCCTCCTGCGCGGAGCGCCGCCACGGGCACGCCAGCGACCCGTCGGCGAGCATCGATCGACCCGCGGCGCCCAACGCAAGCCCCCATCTCCCCCGGCTCGCCGTCGCGCGCGTCCCGGGCGGGAGGGGACGCCGTACGGGCCAGGCCAGGCTAGCGCAGATACCATCGACGCTCATCGCGCATCGAGCTCATCGCCCCCCGCGCGCGAGCTGGCGCCCAGCCTGATCTGCGCTCACCGCCCCCGCGGCCGCCTGCTGCCCCATCCAGCCCATCGCCCCCTCCGGAGATCTGCATCACGCCGATACCCTTCCCGTCGCCCCCCTCGGACTCGGGCTCGCCGCCCTTGCCCGGGCTCGCGCTTCGCCCACCCCCCGCTCGTGAAATCAACTGTGCCCGGCGTGAATTTGAATGCGCCCGCCGCCCCTCTCGTGCGCCCACGCGCCCACACCCGCGCGCGCGCACCCGGGGCGGGCGAAGGCGCGAAGGCGCGAATGCACGACCCGAGCGGGGACGGCGCCGCGGCGCTGATGGTGCCGATCGAAGAAGCAGAGCATGGGACCTGGGACATGGGGAGGGGCCCGGGGCGTGGCGTGGCGTGGCGGAAGGGTGCCACTGACCGCGGTCTGGTCCGTGCGCGTCTGCGCCGACACGCTGACGGGTCTCAGCTTTGTCTCGCTGTGACCACACAGAGCACATATCGCGTGAGCGGCAGGACGCAGGGAGCGCGCGCGTCCTGCGGGGCGGGATGTGCGCGCGAACGGCCGGCAGAACACTGCGAGTGTGCGCCCGCCCGCGCGTCTGGGGCCGGTGGCGTGAAAGAAGAGAACGGGGGGACTGGTGCGCCGGGCGATGCGCGCGCTGCAGCAGCCGCCCCGGGGCTTCGTTCGCGTTTTCGTCCAACGTTCAGCCGGCAGGACGGGGAAGTGGCGCGTGGCGCGATCGCGCGCTGATCCTCCGCGGGTGGCACGGGGGCGTGGGCCTTTTTGTTTTGCTTCCGCGAACCGTGCGTTCGTACGTGCGTGCGTGATCGCGCCACCGCCCGTTGCGCGCGAGCGTCGTCGAATCAACATGAATGCAGCAGTAGATCGGGCTATATAGCGTGCGCGCGTGAATAGCCCTGTCGCTTGCCGTCACTCGCTCATCGCCCCGCGCATCCCAGCCCCAGCGACCTCTTCTCCGCCCGCACCGCCGTCGCTCCGGACGTCTCGAGCGAGCTAAATCCCCTATTCGCCGCTCCGGGACCTGTGTGCGCAGGCGTTGATCTCGCTCCGATCCCCGCGCGCACCGCCGGGTCGCGGTTCGCAGTTCGCAGTTCGTCTCTTCTCCCGCACGGATCGTTTCGGTTCGATCGTTTCGTGCGGACGTGCTGCGCGCGTCCGTTCGTCAAGTCCTCGGGCGGTGCACGAACGGACCCAAATAACACGCAGACGGTGTGGGAGCGACGTTGACGGATTGCATGCCTGCGCACCGTGATCGCGGCCCCAGCGGGTTTTGTTTTCTTCCTTTCTTCGGTCGTCCTCATTTAACGCCCATGTGGTAGGCGTAGAATGCAAATTCAAGATCGGGGTCGCCAAACGTCAGGGGAAAGAGTGGTCAGCGGAACAGATGCCCGGGGAGCACCGGCGGGTCGATGACCACCGGTTTCCGAGAGGACCGGAGCGCACCACGCGCCCGGACACTCTCGAGTTGTTCGCAGCGCGTGTCGGTGGGTTTTGGGACGGAAGAGATACGAGACCAGGAGCTGGGTCGCCAAGGTCGCTGACGGGCCTGGGCCCAGATATGTGAGTGGTGTGGGTGAGGTGCGGACGGGTGCACTGCGGGGTACGTGATCGTTTTGTTTGGAGGTGATGGCGTGGGGGCAATGCTGCATGATGCCTGTTTGGGGGTCGCTCGCTCGCGGTGAATGTCGACGGGCGCACGAGCGGGCGTGCGGGCGTGCTACGCGGGGAGAGGATCGTGAGCCGGGACCCCGGGGCCTGGGTGTCGCAAACGTTGACACCGTGTGGCGTGGAACGTCTCTCGAGACGAACCTACGCGGAGGAGGGTGGAGGACGTCCCTAAATGTGACGCCGCCGCGTCGTAGCCGTACGCAGGACACGGAAGGCCAGAAGTCGGCACGGCGAATCGACTCGATCCTTCAGCGACACGGACGCTGACGATTGCAATCAGTGCCCACTTCGAAGCGGCTCGCGGCGGGCGCGGATGGCTTACTGCGTTCGAGGGATCCCACGGCCAGAGAGAGGATGAGATCCTGAGATGGCGAACCTATCAGTATCGTGGGCCATGGTCTTCGTCTTCGTCATCGTCTTTGGCGGGATCGAGGGGTACTAGAGTCGGCAGTGGAGTCGCAAGGGTCTCCGGACGCACTCCGAGATCAAGGCGAGGGTCGCGGGGTGCCGCCTGATGCGTGCACGCCCCGAGACGCGCACGCGGCTAGCAAAGTCAAACGGGGCGCGGAGACGGAAGACGGACGGCAGACGTACGCGGGGATTGTCGCTGATCGGCGCCCCGCGAGAGCCTGCTCTGACTCCCGAAGGGCAAGCCCAAGGCACGCGCGCCGCCCCAGGCCCCAGGGCTCCAAGGATCCTCGCTCAGGATTCCCGTCAACCTATAGTGCTCTTCCCAGCACGCCGCGCGTACGGCGCAGGAGTCACCTGCGCCCAGGGCTCTCCTGCGGGTTCCTCTCCCCCCTTCGCTCCACGCGGCGGGGGTCCAGCGAGCGATCGCCATCGTCTTCCGCGACTGATGTGTGATGCGCGATGTCGCCCTGGCGGGTTCACGAGAGGGTGAGGTACCGGTGACGATGGAGGGACGCGGGGTGACGCGGACGTGCCATGCAGATCCGAGCGCTATCCCACTGCGAGATCGCCGCCGCGGCACGTGATTTTGACGTGGGCTGCGTCGGCAGAGTCTCGGAGGTGCGATGGCGGCGACTGGACGGTATGTATGGCAGGCGCGTGATCTATGAACACCGCACGGGAATTGGGGGAAGAACTTAAGGACTTACGGCTGAGCGAGAGACGGTTGGATAGAAGTTGCGGGGCGCGGCGTGGGGAGGACGGGTCGGCTCTCTGTAGAGGACTCGCGGGTGAGGCTGCCGAGGTGGGGAAGGCGCGGTGGCGCGGCGGCAATGGATCATGGATGCACTCGCGCCGGGATGGGGGCGTACGTGCACGGGTGTGAGAGGCTTCGCGGGCTTGGAGGACAGAGGACGGGAGGGAGGGAGAGCATGGCACCCGGCCGAGCCCACGCCGCGGGTGCTGAGCGCTGAAGATCGGCGGATGCGGATGCAGACGCGGAGGTGGATGTGGGTTCGCAGCCGAGGACGTACGCGCGGTGTGTCCTGTTCGGACGGTCGGCCGAGAGGGTGCAGAGGAGCGGCGCGGCGCCGGGATACCATGGGTATGTCGGGATATGGGTATGTATTCGGCACCCAACTAGCACCTCGGGCTTCGTGGGGATCCACGCTCAGTGAGATCTGTGGGTGGACGGAAACGTGCTGTCACTCAGCTGTGCGGCGTTCCGTCACGGAGAGCGCGCGCGCGCCCATAAATCGAGACCATCCGAGCCTCCGTTCCAGATATCTGCGCGCGGGCGCGAGTCCACCGACCCGCGCGACGGAGATCGCGTCGTCCCGGAGGGGTCCTCCACTAGACGCAGACGCGGGCGGGAAGAAGACAATCGCGAGCGGAGCGCCGTAGGGATCGGCGGCGACGGACGCTTTCGTTCGTGGGTGCGTGGGTGGGGAGCCGACACGGGGACGCCAGGTTGGCTCAAGTGCGTGGGCCCCCCCGCGCGCGCAGGGAAGAGCCTGGACCGCGACCGACCGCGACCACGACCTTTGGCCACGCGCACGGGGGAGGG